CTGGCATGGACAAGGACTAGCCCCCCCCCCCCCCTCTTCCCCCCAGGTTGGAGGCAAGGGGAAAAAAGGTAATTCATAGCCTTGGCTGTCTGGAGAAGCGTAACAGTGCTCTCTGCCATTCCTGGGTCATGTCTCCCCCTCTATGGCCCTGGAAACCTCCCCCCACAAGGGAAGGGAACGGGGCCTCCCCCGCATTCCTCTGGCTCTCCTTTTATTCCCTGCTTGAGAAGAAAGGCAGACGCTCATTTATTTCTACCCCAGTACCCCCTTTTACTTCCCCCAAGACAAGGGCAGCTGCTCATTATTGAGAGATACCTTCCCCCAACCTGTCCTGGGGTCCCCAGCCACAGATCACGACAGGGCACGTAATCGTCGTAATTTGCCAGTGTCACAGAAGAGGTGCCCTGATAGTACCGGAAAAGGCAGCAGCAGGATGTCCTTGATGCCTTATCATCCGTCAGGTGCAGTACAAATTCTAATGGGACTGATTTCCCAATTCTCAGCCCTCTGCCTCTAACAAATTTAGCTTCTTACTAGGGGTGGGGGTTAAGCAGCAAGCAGGGCCGACGTTAACATTGCTTTGCTTGTCATCGCCTTCAGCTCAAGAAGGAATTCTTCTTTTTAACACACACAAACTGATGCTGGCCACGCTCCCTCCAAATGTCTGTGATTGGGGTCAGCTTCTGATGGTGACCAACCAGCCCAGACTACAGAAGCATCCGCTCATGTCCTGCAAAATCCTGCTGGCAAAAAACAACAAATCTTGGAATACAGCTGCCAGGAGCAGGGGAGGAGAGGAAATCCGGGTGTTGCAACATTTTGCATGGTCTCTCCACATGCTTCACCTCTCGCCCCTGAATTCCTTGCCCCTCCCTTCTGCACACCATGTCGGGGAGGAGGGGGCATTTTAGGGGGAAACAAAGGGGTTAATTGTGACCTTAATGTCTGGTGCTAGAACAATCTTCTAGGCCCGGCTTCAGTTTTGGCCTGCAAGGGCAAACGTCCACCTCTAGCAGCTGTCCCTGTCACTCCGCCAACCTCGTGATTTTCACCCCTGTGCTGCCTGGGCTGTCCCGTGGCAATGCTAGGGTTGGGAGTTTCCATGAGGAGGAGATGTTTGTACTCTGTTTATGCAGGTGCCCTTTCTCTAAAGCCCCGGCTCTCTGGGAGATTTAACAGAATTGATTAGGCCAGCTGCTAAAACCAGATGCCCTGCTCTCAGGGCTGCTTGTTAGCATGCTGTCCTGCCTTTGCTCTCCTTGCCTTGAGCTCTGACAAGCCCTGCTCCTGTAGCATCAGCTGAGGATTAGAGGCTCTGCACGATGCTGGTGCAAAGCAGCCAGAGAGCAACGCAGCCCACGGTAGCTTTGTCTCGCCCCGTTGCCGGTTCACCTGCGCCTCACTGGGCTGCTAATCAAAGGGCAAGGAGGGTAGTCCAATGGTTATCACAGGTCTAGGAGTTAGGGTTGGGTTCTGAGCCCAGCTGTGTGGCTGACACGCCGATGGATCTTGGCACAGGTTACATCCTCTCCTCACACGTCAGTTTCCCCATCCGTACAAACGCTCCAAGATTTGGGAGAGCAAATCTAAAAATAAGGCTCGTCGCTGCTTTCTGTGGTGGGAGGGGGTGCTCCCGAGGGCGGGCCACGCTGGTTCGTTATTGTACAAGGGGCTGTTCAGGAGCTCGGCCGGCACTGGCGTGAGTTTAGAA